GAAGAATGAAGTCCTTGACAACTTCAATCTTTTCTCCATTGATAAGAATGTTGTTTATTGGTCCAGTGGTGAGGATTTTTGTTTTCATCTCAATGTCAAGAAAACAATATATATATATATACATACACACACATATATACACATGTACATAAATACATATACATATATATACATACGTACATACATACACACATACATACATGCATGTACATAAATGCATATACATATATACATGCATACACATATACACATACATACATATACATGTATACACACATATATACACATATATATACATATATATACATACATATATATACACATACATATATATATATATACATATATACACAGAGTTTGTGCATTGTATATTTATATGTGTGTCTGCGCTCTTACACACAAAATCCCAATCTACTGTTCCTAGTATTGAAGCCATTTTGAGGATGGACTGGCACAGAATCTCTGGACATGAGAGAATGACCCTATGGTGTGGTTAAAGCAAATGAGCTTCTTAGTCAGGAGCAGTTGCCAAACTAACACATTCTGCTTAGTTTTCCTGTTTTCCCTTAAGATTTTGTGATCAAATTCTCTGTTCTTGACATCAGTCATCCAAAGATGGCTTGTTCATAGTCCCTCCATAAAGACTTTTTAAGAAATAATATTTTATTGTGTTTTAGGTGAAAATTGACACAGTAAATTGGGTTCTCCTTTCAACACTTTTACACAAATTGTTTCAAGGCATTGCTTACACAGTTTATACAATGTGTCAGCAGTCTCCTGATTTTCCTTTGTTTATCCTTTTTCCATTGATCTAACTTCCCTCCTCCTCCTGTCCTTCTCATCTTTGCTTCTGAGTAACTGCTAAGTGGTGTCATACAGTGTATAGTGTTTATTTCATAAGCTAATCTATAAATTGTCTATAAGGTAACCTGCTTATATTAGCAATAGCTACTATTCCATATTCAAAGGATACCTAAGAGTTCTCGCCTTGGGGGCTCCTAGAGTCTAGCCAGTCCAGTCTGGTTGGCATTTGTTTTTATTCTACATTTTCCTTCCCTTCTATCTGGGACCTTCTTTGTGTTTCTGATCAGAACAGCTGGTGATGATAATCAGGTACCATCTAGTTCTCCTGGTCCTCAGGTTAGAAAAGGATGTGGTTTGTGCGGGTTATGAGTCCTGGAGACTAGCTACTTCTTCATACTTTTAATTTCTTTCATTCTGTTTTTCTCTGTATGAGTTCCCATTAGACTTTTATGTTTATTCCCAAGGGCAGATACAGTAAAAGAAAAATACGAAGAACCAAATGAAAGGCAGGCATGCCCTAGATGAGTTGCTGAGAGCCAGGAGCAGCGGTATGTACCTGCAGAGCCTGCCGTACAATGGTGGATGTGTAGGTCAGCATGCCGTGCAGAATCTCCAGCAGGGAAAACAGCAGTGCGGCAGCTGTCTCATTGTTGCTTTTGTTGTCCACATCCAAACATAGCTTGGCCGTTTCAGTCAACAGGTTACAGACATGACTTACAAGTCCTGAGAGGGAAACAAACAAACAAACAAAACAATTCATTAAATAGTATAAAAAATACCCTTTCTTGTAATGTGTTCAGAATAGACACTATTTCAACTATGTTGCATATGCTCAAAACAGTCTTTGAATACTACTTGGTCCCAGATTCATTTGGGAAAGTTGTTTAAAATACAGGTTTTCAGGGATGGAATGATTTTGATGCCAGGATTTCTGACACCACACGTTGATAAACATTATCCTTTATGAGTGGGTTTTACCGAGTCTAAAGGCTAGCTGATACTGAAGGAAAGAGAGCATGTTGTACATTAACTATGTTGTCCTCAGGAGTTTTTAAGAAAGCTAAATCATTCAAAGTATAGATCAGGAACCATGGGTAAACCTAATCATCAATTTTGATCTTATATCATAAAACGTTTGAAATGTATGACTAATTAAATTTAATCAATGACTTGCAGTTTAGAAATTGGAAAATTCTGTCATTTTGTCTCTGTAAAACTCATTAACAGTGTGGCTAGTCTTCACCAGCATTTAGTTTGGTGTAGCTGATCACAACAAATAAACTTTCAGAGTCCAGGGCAAGATGGCAGAGTAAGCACACACATGGGAAACTGCATGAAACAGATACAGATAGTAATCCTGGAACCCTGAGCATCAGATATAGAACACAGAGGTAGATTGAATGCCGACTGGAAGAGCAGAGAGAGAAGAAGAATGGGCAGACTGTAGCCTGGCATGGAACTGGGTAGCCATTCTGAGCTGTTGTGACCAGCTGCTGATACAGCAGCCTGCGGGCACAGCTCAAGGTCGGAGGCTGACACAAAGGGCCTGCAGTTCTCCTTTGTTTCCATGCTCACCCTACTGGTATATGGGGGCATGGCCAGTCACTGCCTGCTCTAGCCAACCCAATAACCAGTAGTATTACCTCCTGTGAAGCGTCTGCTCTACCTGGGGTGGTTGGGTGCCTGGTATAGGCCCCTGCTTCTGGAGTCGCATGAACCCACCCTGAACTGTATCACACAAAAAGTGAACAGAGAACTAACAGCGTTCACACTTCTGGTCGCTACCACATCCCCCAGGAGAAAGGTCGGGAGTGCCTGATAACACACCAACTAAATATAAATATGGTAACACAAGGTCTCCAAGAAAACAGACAATTCCAGCTTACACAATGAAACAGGGCAGAGTACCTCTGACAAGTCACCAAAATATAGTAAAAAAAAAAGAACCACCAGAAATGGTATTAGAACTACCTGATAAAGATTTTAAAATAATGCTTTTTAGGTAACTTCAAAAGACTGACAGAAAGATAGAAAAAACTACAGATGACATCAATGAAAACATGGACAAAACTATGGAAAATCTCAGTTAACAAACTGACAAAAATGTTGAAAAAAAAGGAGCCATACAAAATCAGCAATTAGAAAGCCAGAAGACTAACATTAAGATTTCAGAAACAAATAACACACTGGGTAAAGGGTAAACATGCAGAAATGAATCAATGAAAGCTGAATTACTGAGCCTGATGATCCACTGCTCATTAATCACCTACTGGAGGAACAATCAGATCTGAAAAAAGCTTAAGATTGATGTAGGACACTAACAAGAAGAGCCCCGTGGTGTGGCGCTGCAGGGTAACTACAAGGTAGGCAGTTCAAACACACCAGCCGCTCCTTGGAAACCCTATACAGTGTCACTGTGGGTCAAAACCAACACAGTGGCACTTAACAACAAAAAGCGTAACTTTTGTGTGATTGGAATACTAGAATAGGAAGAGACAAAAAACCTATAGATAGTATTGTCCAGGAGTTGTTGGAAGAAAACTTACTTAACATCATGAAAGACAAGAAGACAGCCTTTCAAAAACTTGAATGAACACCAAACAGGATAGACCCGAAAACAAAAACATCAAGACATGTTATCATCAAACTTTTCACAAGCAAAGACAAGGAAAGAAGCCTGAGAGCAGCTGAGAAAAAAACTAGAAGTTTAAACTCAATATTTAGGTGATATTGTCATGTCTCTTCTGTTTCAGGATATTGTCAGGGTCTCTGTCCAAAGAACTCGCTTTAGTATTTTTGGCAAAGTTGGTCTGATTTTCACAACTTCTTTCAATATCTGTTTTTTTGAAGGTGACCTAATCTCGCCATCATAGTTGATGGGCAGTTTTGCTGAAAATACGACTCTTGGTTGGCAATTTGTTTCTTTTAGAGTTCTTATATATGTCACTCCATTGTCTTCTTGCCTGTATGGTTTCCGCTGAGAAATCAGAACTTAAGTTCTCCTTTTTTTAAAAAGCAGAAAAAGGAATCTTAAAGGCAAGTGTTTTACATAAGCAAGTGTGTGTGTGTGTGTGTGTGTGTGTGTGTGTGGTGGTGGTGGTGGTGAGACGGAGTAAGGTAGTATGATATGTACAAAGGGGCTTCAAAAGTTCATGAAAAAAATTCTATCATCTTTTACTTCCATTTGTCATGAAATTTTTAAAGCTCCTTTATATTAGAAAGTGCATTTTACTGGACCTATAATCCAATGCATGTCTCCAGCTCATCACCTGGATGGAAAATCATCCAAGCACAGCTTTTAAAGAATTGTTCCCACTTCCAGTAAACTCAGCTAGTTGTCCTTTACAAAGGGAAAAATAATACTTCAAATTAAAAAAGTAATTAATTTTGTCATTAAAGACAGAGGAGACACCACAATTATAGAGACATTATTGAAACATGTGCACCTTCTGGTAGAAACTGGTACAAGTCACAAAAATGCCAAGTTTTAAAATAAATAAATTAATTAAAACAAGAAACTGAGCCATGAATCTGAAGATAAATACGCTTCAAAGGAAGGCAGAATGAATTATTGGCAAAATTTCTTTATCAAATGGCAAGGTCTGATACCACGTATAGGCACTGAGGTATAGTGTAAAATAGCAATTTTTATTACATGTGCATTACACTGGTAGGCATTTCTCTTTAGAGTTTTGCCCATCACTCATGTAAACGCCATGAATCACACATGGCACCCATGAACGGCAGATGAGAGAGAACGGCATGAAAAATGTTGTATTGGGTAAACACACATGCTTCAAAAAAAATTTTTTTTTTCCTTTAGGGGGGTTCATGATTGTTTCTAATACAGCAAGTAGATAGTGCTGAGGTCAGCACCGGTGAAGCCCAGCTACATGAAGAACAGGGAAAAACATGGATCTTTGCAGAGAAGTGGGTCCCTTACAAACCCTTCTATAAGCTGCTTCAGTCGAGTAAACAGGTGGTGAACATAAGTGAAATAAATCCCAAAAGGACCAACAGTATATGGTACAAATTTTAAGAAATATGTAGAATCAGAGAATTTGTGGAGAACAAAGTCTATGAGGGGGCTTCAAAACGTTTGTGGAAAAAGTCCATTATCTTTTAACTCCATTTTTCCACAAAACTTTTGAAGTCTCTTTTTTAAGATTATTAGAGACAGATGGGAGGGTTCATTGCTTAGGGGATATGAGCTCTTGTTAAGGTTGATAAAAAATTTAGAAACAATTAGTGGTGCTATCTGAGTAACATGGCAGACATAATTAATGCCACTGAGTTGTGCACAGAAGCCCTGGTGAGACAGTGGTTAAACACTTAGTTGCTCATCAAAAGGTCAACAGTTTGAACTGACCGGCCACTCCACGGCAGACAAATGTTGCAGTCTGATCCCATAAAGACTGTTCTTTTGGTTGGTAGTACCGTTGAGTTAGTTCTGACTTATAGCCATCCTGTGTAGGGTTTCCGAGGAGGGGCTGGTGGGTTTCAACTGCTGATCTTGTGGTTAGAAGTCCAGGGCTTACCCTATAGCACCACACTGGCACACACCTATGAGGTAGTTATACTATGTCATATAGGGTCACTGTGAGTTCATATCAACTCCACAGCAATAAATAATCAATGGGTATGTTTATCATATAGTCATTGCTTTTTCAAAATTAAAACTTTCATTTTAGAGTCAGAATACATTTTTTTCTTTTTATTATTAAAATACAACTGTATTTTATCTATACCAATCTACTTTTTTTTTTTTTAAGTAATTTAAAGCAACTACAGGCAGCCCTCCCGTTAAAAATGAGATAAAGACATTGCTAAGTTTGTCTAAGAATGTGTAGGCTAATACAAAGAGATGCATTGTTGTTAAGTGCTGTGAAGTCGGTTCCGACTCATAGTGACCCTGTATAGGGTTTCCAAGGAACAGCTGGTGGGTTTGAACTGCCAGCCTTGTGGTTTGCAGTCCAGTGTTGATCCTACAGCACCATACCCGAAGTCCAAACAGATGCATTGGCTTCTTATTTAACCTTACGTTAGTGCCAAGGGGAGCCCTGGTGGCACAGGGGTTACAACTGGCTGCAAACCAGGCAGTCACCAGCCACTAGGCAAGAGAAAGACGTGGCAGTCGTCCTCTGTAAAGATTTACAACCTTGGAAACTCTATGAGACAGTTAGACTCTGGCCTCTAGGGTCCCTATGAGGCATAATCAACTCAACTTAATGGCAACGAGGCTTGGTTTTACTGCAAGAAAAGGCTCAAAACCTCTTCAGTGATTAAAAGCTGCACATGCAGTAAGGGAAGATGACTGTGATGAATTCGCACAACCATTTCAAAGTGAAGACTAGTCAGCATACTTTATGGTAAAGCAGGGCTTCCAACTGGTAAGCAGAGCTGAAGCAGTGGAATCGAGCTCAAAGATGGTGGCCCCTTGCTTTGAGTATGTCCTGCCTACAATCTAATCTCACACATAAGGCTCCTAAAATGGCTCACTATGCCTCTTGATTCCTCTCATTCCAGGACTTCAACTAACTTCAACTTTTCCCATTCTGGTTACCAAAAACATTACCACTGTAAGAGTTTACGTCTGCTACTGTTTCATTTCGCCAACCAAGACAGAACCAGTTCGAATCAGTTCAAACCCATACTTAAAGGGCAAGATAAAGTTGTCCATAAGTTGGACATTCCAAATCAAGGGACTGCCTGCATCAGACAAA